CATCTCTCATAATGCAGGCATGTACATTGTCTGAAATCCCCTTTATATTTCATAAACCCTGAAAATTGTGATATGAAGTTGCCAAGTCAATACTACCTGTACTTCATCCTGTATGCATTCTTTTACAATGATTATTGATAACTGAAATCTACTGTGTTAGTATGAGTATATTTAAAATATAAAACAATATTTTTTGGTTAATGAGAATTGCAAATAACTCCTGGTAAACTGTATCCTGTCCTACAAAAGTCTGGTGGAATCAAACTTAGAGAATTACTAATTTTCAATAATTTGGAGTTTCAAAGCATTCAAATATATATTCAAAGACATAAAACTATTAAATCCACTAGCACCAACAACCATTTAGGAAACCAATCATGATGGTTGTTAGAAAGCAGAATAACACAGGAGTCCTAAGCTATTGAGCATAAAATTCAAGGTCCTTCAAAATCAGCCATGCAACACTACTTTAAACGTCTTCAGCACATACTTTTCACATCTCAATGATTACGCAGTTAGCTCCCATTGTCAGAAATAATTCCCTCCTTACCATAGTGCATCATTATATATTGGGATTTATCACAATAATGTAAACTGTTTGAATGGCTTTCTCTCCCCCCAATAGACCACCCATATGAATTTCTTGAAGGCAAGAGCTGAGTTTATTCATTTTTATATCTCTAGCACTTGACAACTGGTAGGTAGCAAGGCAACGTGTTGCTTTTGGAACCAAAAGATCATGATGAAGATTCATGTTTTAATCCTAGGCTCAATAACTTGACTTTCTAGTTTCTTATATGTAGATGTGGGATAAAACAACCTATGGGGTTGTTGTGAAATTGGAAGATATTTATTTATGAAGTGACTAACCCAGTGTCTGCCGCATATAAGGTGCTATTACATGTGCTCAATGAATGTTAGTTGAATTGATTTTTTACAATAGTCCTTTCCATTTATATATTAGCTCAAAATCTTTTCAGAATTTTCAGAATTCAAATCACCATCTTGATCTTGTTCCCTCACTCTCATATACCATAATTTAAACTGCCATCTCTATAAGAATAAAAAATGTGACTGTGTATTCAGGCAATTTAGGCATTTGAGGGAAGTACGTTCAATGCTTCCCAGGATTAAAATAGTTTAAAATGTCCTCAGAAAGGAGAACTAAAGTTCAGGGCATTCAGCTTTATTTTCTCTTCCATTTCTTACTAAAAGGGAAAAATGCTTCAATATTTATAAGACTTAGAATAATGGATGTGCATAATTTTCCCTTAACGTACATTTCTGCTTTTTAAACCCAGTTTAAACTCAGTGAAAGGCCAAGAACATAGACTTAATTATGCAGAAAAAGGATGCTTTAACTGCAGTGCACATTCAATAGACAAAATCCAAAGAAAGCAGTCCTGCCTCAGACATTACAAATCAATTCATTATATTGATTTGGAATGAGTTGTGCTGTAATTTAAAACATAGATTACCACAGGCCAAACTAAAGTTCTATTTCTAAGGCACTTTTGCTTGGCTACACACATGACCCAAGAATTTTCAAAAACAGTGATTTGCTTAACCTTATAAAAAAGCTATTGTATATAAATAATAGGTTTTAATGGACTAATAATTAAAATGTAATCAAAAGTAACTTTCAATAGTATGCCAAAAAATGTGTGTTTGAGTTAACTAATAACTTCAATAAATCATTGATATCTTATTGAGAACAGGCAATGTGCTTCTATTTCAAAATGATTTATTCCACATGCAATGCATAGAATGTTTCCATCTCATTTCCTAATTCTAATGTAATCCTTGAAGAAAATGTTAAGATTTCATTCCGTCTTGTTTGTTTTTCATGGAAAAGGCTGCTCCTTGGGGAATCCGCAATCACACCTAAGAGTTCTATTGTCCTCCTCACATCTTTTGGTGACTTGCTATTTTATCTTAATGTAACTTAAACATTTTATCGTTTTTTTCACTTGTCAGTCTTAAAAGGTAGGAATAATAATAGTTGCCACTATATAGGGTGTTTCTCAAAAGCACTGAAACTATAGTTCAGAAAGACTCATTGAATTTCAATTATGCATCTAACAAATGGGCATATGAGACCAACCAGTTAATTAGAGAAATGGCTAAAATGCATGCTTCTTTGTGAGGACAGAATATTTATCAGTAATTTTCTTCATATTAAAATAACAGAACCTACTGAATGAAGTTGTTCTAAAAGTATAATAAAATAATAATTTGCAACTGAGTTCTTCCTGAGACAGCCTGAGAATTGAGACAGAATGTAACAAGGTCCTTCTATACCAATAAGTATCTTCTTCACTGAAATCTCTCCTGGGCCTCAGTTTCTCCATTGGAGCAATGATCTCATTAAACTACATGAACTTTCAATTCTACACTAATTTTAAATGTTCTAAATTCTTAATAAGTTAAATAATCAATTAGTAACAGAAATCAACTAATCTGCTCTTATCTGATATCTAGATGATATATGAACCTATAAATATACAAATATTTAAATAATCCATAAGTTATTTAAACATGTGTATAGAACTATTAAAATCCAAGAACATGAAACAGTTGTTGATATGACTTCCTAAAAAGTCTTTATTGTTTCTGGTAAAATGACACAAAAGTTGTGAAAACCAAATACCTCAATGAAAACAAAAATGTCTTGCTTGTCAGGTTCCTTTTCTTTAAAATGAAAGAAGCGAATTACAACAAAATTATGGTCTTTGAAACAAATTATAACAAAAGAGGATTTTTAAAATTATTTCCATAAATGTCAAGAGCAATTTAAGCTTGTTATCCTGGTGAATCAGAGTAGTTTTGCTTGATAAGAGCTTTTTTAAAGTTTGCCACAAAATTTCAAAATACATAGCTACCTTTTCATCAATAAAAATAAATGTTGCTGTGACATTTTTCCAGCAAATTTTAACAAGATTCAAACTACCTAATCTTTCTAATCTTAAGTATTCACATTTTTTTCTGGTTTTCGAATTAGCCAGAAGCAAAGATAAAACAAATCTGTTTTTCTGTTATTTGATCCCACAATGATAACAAAATTCAGTCTCTAAATGAGTATTTCTAAATACACTTATCCATAATTTTCAGCTGATTTCAAAAATAATTCTCGAAATAAAATTAATTGGAGATAAGCACAGGTCTTTATTTAAGGACTCCTTACTAATTGTATTGCTCCTGTGGTATTGAAAGACATTCCTTTCCAAGCTGTTTATGTACCAAAAGCACAATGTTTGCTAGCACTGCCACCTGCTGTTGACTCTAAATCATTTTCTAGCATGCATAAATAGAAATAAAAATAAATGGAATGGCTCGGGCATAGTGGTCAAGAAAGCAAGCATCAACACAAAATTTAAAGACATTTTGTGTGCAAACCAATGACAACAGGTAAAGTGATACTTATGCTGTAATAAATCTCTTGCCATAACAGAGGGGTTTAATAGGTGACTGAAAAGGCCCCTGAACCATTTTGGCTATTCACATTAGACTGAGTTATATTTTTTACAGGAGCATTTTCGATGTGACCAAAAAAAGCAGAGGATGAAGTACAAAATAAAGGCAATAAAGTTCTTCTAGAGGGAATCAATTGATCTTCTTTTAATTGAGTAAACCATGTTCAATGTATGTAGGAAGATATAAGCAAATGTGGCAAAAATTAGTGAATCCAGTTGAAGGATATATGGGAACACTATTTTAGCCTCTCTACCTTTGTTAGGTTTACAAACTTTCTAAATCAAAAGATGGAGAAAAAAGTATAATGTACTGATATATTTAATCTGCTTTGCCAGTGCAGCTAAACTTCATGGAATTTAAAAGAATATTGAAATTATATTAGAGAAACTTAATGCACATTTTAATGTCTGAGAAAAACTGAAATACTTTTTTAAAAGAATGTTGAGGAATTATTTCTTTTTCTCCCTTATTCTAGAGAAACAGTAGCCTTGGGTCTGATGGCTACTTGTGTAGTGGGAGCATTGACCTAACAGTGCCTCTGGGGTAAGAAAAGAACAAAGTGTACACAAGAACATAAGTATATCCAACAGCTTTCCCTTTTACAATTTAACAGCTTCAGAACTGCACTGTTCGTTAACTTTAAAGCTTTTTCAGTGTGCTTATCAGAATTCCCCAAACACCGTAACTGAAAACTTCTTTAAAACATATTCATGAAAATTATTATTTAAAAAAAGAAATCTGAAGTTCCCAATTTTAGTAAGAAATTTAATCTTTAAATAATAGACAGCTTTTGGATTGTCTGTCCAATCTTCTTTCTACAAACTTCTCCTCTCACCTCCCCTAATCCATAGAGATTTAAATTCCGTGATTTAAATTACTGGTGGGCCACTTACAGCCTACCAGCTGGTGCTTCTCTCTTTTGGGAATTCAGAATTGGTATTCAGAAAAGATAGCTGAGTCTCTGATGTTTTCTAAAGTTAAGACAGGTAAACTAAGGGGCTATGGTGCTGCTGCTGAGTACGAAATGAATAAAAAAGTAGGGAGAAATGCCCATATGCAAAGAGAAAAGAAGAAAACACACATATAGAAATAAGGAAAGAAGAAAGTACAGAAAGAAAGAGAGGGAATAATGCCTGACAACTTACTAGTTCCACATAAACACAGCAGTACTTCTACCCATACTTTCTACGACACTCCCCTGTATCCACACACACCCTTCTCCCTTGTGATACACTAGTTGGCTGTGGGATGTTATTTCTTGAAGCCAAAGTCTTGATTCCAATAATTTGCTGACATTTTTTTTAAATGCAGGGAAATTTTGATATAAAAAAATTAGAATGGCAGCCAACAATAAAAAAGCTGAAAAATGTAGATATTGTCCATGAGATACAATTTTTATGTGTGTGCGTGTGCACACACACACACACACACACACACAAACTGCAATATTTCTCTTAAGCAGAGTCCATGCCTAGGAATTATAATGATGTTTGTAGTAGATGGTAATATTAGTTCAAAATACTCACTGATTCTCATGACTTGCTTTGGCCAGTCCAAAATAAGCCCAGTGACTTGTGGCACTGCCAAGCAGGAACCTTAATGCCATCTTGTAGTTCCACCACGGTATTTCTTTCCCTTTGACCATACAAGAAAGAACAATAATGTAAGGTTGTGTTACAATAATGTGAGACTGTGTTACATATCAACCTGCAATAGACATGTAACATGAACAAGAAATCAACTTATATTGTTGTCACTGAAATTTAGAGGTTTATTGTCACTGCAGTATAACCTGGCAAAAACTGGTACATGTCTAAAATATTCTAATTAATCAGATATTAATGGGTAAGAATGTAAATATTTCATTACAAAATCTATTATTGCTAATAAGCTTATATTTTAAATAAGCTCTTTTAGATTTCAAGTTATGCTATTAATGATTTTAGGGGTCTTTACACAAATTACTTACTAAATGATAGATTTATTACTTCATTCACTTTTTTAAGAATTGCCAATACATTTATCATAAATACATATTTCGTCTTAAAATATATTTCAAAAACATTCTCATTTTAGTATACAGACTATATAGACTAATTTTAGAATGTAGACTATACTAAAAACTGAATGTTATAAAACTTATTAAAACACATCAATTGAGAAAAAGGTCTTGAAAATTTTTATATGCTTCTTGTTTATTATGAAAACAACCTGATACAAGGATTCTGAATCTTTCAAATATATAAACCAAAGCAATTGTAAATAATTGTCCTACTTTCTTAATTTATAACATCAGTGACTTTAAGTACTTACACAATCTAGATATTAACTCTACTTTTGCATAAGTACTTTTTCTTAAGACAATGTCACCTTTAATAGAGTTTGGGTAACTATAAATAGCTATAAAATAAATATAAATTAGACATGAGGCCAGTTCTATGCCTCCTGCCACCATGATTAACTGTGTGACCTCGGGTAAGGCATTTTACTTCTCTAAGCCAGTGAGCCTTCATCAGAAAAATGAAGATAGTGATCTATACCTACTGCATAAGGAACCAAATAACACAATGTACACTGTAATCTCTTAAACGTATTAAAATTATTACTTACCAGTGTATTAACACTACAAGATACCTTGACATGATCAGAATTTATATACCAATGGTCAAAATCCAATGCTATATAACATATTGCTATAACTCCTTATCTAAAAGAAGGGCCCCAGGGTCACAACAGAAGCAGCAGTGATGGATGCATACAGTTTCTACCAACTTTAGTAGGTAGTTTAAACTGTCGAAGTGCCAGGTCATTTTGGAGAGTAGGAGACTATCTCTGCTTCTTTACTAAACCCACCATTACAACCACAATAAATCGTATTAACGAGAGAATTATTCATGCAATTCACTTTTTTCTTCTAGGTGCTCACTGAATGAACACGCTCCAACACTCTCCCATTTATTTTTTCTTTGCTTTTTTTTTTTTTTTTTTTTTAAGTGATTCTTCTCCTAGTTCAGCCTCAGGAGTATCTGAGATTACAGGCACGCATCACCACACTCATCTATTTTTTTTTTTAACATTCTTCCATTTCAATGACAAAAATACATTAATGTCCATAACAATAAAGATATTAATAACTCCAGTGTTGTTTAAATTATATATGCCAATATTATTCTCAACTTTTTGCATGTGTTTACTTATTTAATCTTCATAACAATTCTATGAGAAAGTTACTATTAATTATTCTGATTTAAAAATAGAAAGTGAGGCACAGATTAAGTGTCCCAAAACCACAACTCATAAGTAGCAGAGTCAAGTTTTGAACCTAGGCAAGCAGTATTGAAATTCCACTTCAACCAAATATTACACCTATATGGTTGAAGCAAAAATAATTTGAGGAAGAAATAAAACACAGTTATTCCAAGAAAAAGAAGAAACTATTATTTCATTAGTACATATCAAGGATATCTTTTTAATAATTCCATTCACTTGAATTATTGAACTTTCATACCAGTAGAAATCATGTGAATGCATCAAGTAATACAAATGCTATTCATCTAAATCCATTACTTCCATTGCTATAGTTTATTTCTTTCATTGTTACTTCAACTTTGGAGAATTTATTTTTATTGTACTTATGGGGTTGAGAAATTTTATCTGTGAACCAGATTTTTTCCTTGATAATGAAAATGCACTGTTGGAAAAGCTAAAATCAAGAACAAATAAATGTATAGTAATTGTAACACTATAAATAACAGCTCTAGCCTCAAGCATGCACCTGCAATGTATACATAAAGCATGTTTCTATTGTATCTCTTTAAGAATGAATATTTTAAAATGATAATGTTAAAAAAAAAAGTCCCATGGAATGACCTATATAAATATATAACAACTCTGTGCAAATATTTAATGAAATATGTCTTAGATTCAGATTTCAATGCCATTGACTATCTCTTGCAAGCTATTAATTATATATATATGATATGCCATTTAAATAGAGAAATTTCAGCAATCATTTACTAGCTGGTAAAAAAATTTTTCCTAAATTTAAATAATATTTGAAAATGTCAAGAAAGAATCACAAGAGTCAGTTTCATTTAAATAAATTTGACATATTAAAAAATTTGGAGGTTTTAAAGAAATAAAAAAGAAAGTATCCTAGCCCTAATATAAGATGAAAGTGATAAAAATCCATTATTTTCAAGAGAAAAGAGTCAATCATTTCTAAAAAACTATTTGACTTCTTGGGAACACTAGTTTGACTAAAATAAGCCTAGATTTTATGATTGGCCGATTAATAAAAAAATAGATCTCATATATTTAATTCTAATTTGTCAAATGAGGAAATTCATACACCAAATATAAAAGAAGAGCCGTTATATTTTTATATCAAAATTTGTACAAAACATCAATAGAATGAAAATTTGACTATATCAACACACCACAAAATAATTACCACTGTGAGACAAATGGATAATATTAATTTCCATAAATCCTCAAAACAACTTTACTGGTTCTAGAAACTACAAAACTAAAACAATGATTGGCAAATGTCTACATTTTAACATTGAAAAGGCTTCATGAGGATCATATTTTTTTTCCAGAATATATCTGTTGCTTTTCTAACAGTATCAATAAGCCCAAAGGGGCATCTATACACATTTCCAAGTTTCAATAATAGCCAAAGTATTAAATAACTAATCCTGTATAAAGCACTATTCCAAAGTAGAGTGTTTGGCCAATATACCTCTTCAGAGAGATACTGTAATTGCTTCACTCCACTTTCAATAAACGATCTATAATGAAAGTTGCTTTTTAGGCTTAACCTAGAGCTATGCCCTGTGGGAAACGATTGAGTCTTTGTAAAATGTGTTACAGTTTACTAATAAGAATGCAGCAGCAGCACAACTGATGAACCAGCAAATCTGTTCTGACTTATTTGGTCTTTGCTGAATAAATTTGAATATCATCAAAATACATTATCCTTATCCATAACCTGCTTCCTATGATTTGCTCTATCCTACACTCATTTCAAAACGAAATTTAAACACATCAATATCTTATGTATTTGTGCTAGTCCTATGGCATTACATAAAACAAGAAAATTTTTTTTCTAGAAGACAAAAATAAAGCTTTGAATAGGAAAAGGTTACCACATAATTATTTAGAACCTAGAGAAAAACAGAGAACATTAATATAACAATATTTATGTTTGATACTGATATATAATATACAGAATTTGTCACCAAAAAAAATACAAAGTTATCTTTCTTAAAAGACATGGATTAAAAAATCCTCCTTTCACCATGATTGGCTGTCTTATCTTGAACACATCCATTAACCCCTCCCTCCATCCTCATCTCCCTCACTACTCCATTCTCATTCCCCTTCCCTTCCTTCTTTCCTTTTCTTCGTTCCTGATTCACACATGATTCATTTAACTTATATTGAAGGTATAGTACTTGCTGGGCATTGTGTCTGCCTATAATGATTTAAGGATGAACAAGACAAGTGTTCCACAGAGAAGCTCCTAATCTTTGCGGTATTAAAAAAATAATAATAACTATACTATAAAATATTAAGAAGAAAAAATAACTATAAAATATTATGAAAAAGCTTAATTTATAATGCTTTGGAAGCAGACAAGGGATTATAATTTGTTTCCCTGAGATGGTGGCACATGAACTTAGTTTTGAAAATTATGTAAAATTACTCAACAAGAAGGTATATGGGTGAGTGGGTGGGGTGAGGTAGGTATTTCTAACAAAAGAAATAGGAGGCGTTAACATGCCACAGCCTGTAGCTGTGGCTTTAGGGTAGGAAGCAAATAGGGCAGTGATGGATCTCTCCAAAGTTGCGTGCACACACCAGAAGCTGCACAATACAAATACATGAGAAGAAAATATTGCAGCTTTTATTTATTGATTTTTTATTTTTTGAGATGGAGTCTCGCACTGTGGCCCAGGCTGGAGTGCAGTGTCCCCACCTCAGCTCACTGCAATCTCCGCCTCCTGGATTCAAGTTATTCTCCTGCCTCAGCCTCCCAAGTAGCTGGGACTACAGGCATGCCCACCACACTCAGCTAATTTTTTTTTTCTGTATTTTTAGTAGAGATGGGGTTTCACCATGTCGGCCAGGATGGTCTCAATCTCCCGACCTCGTGATCCATCCGCCTCGGCCTTACAAAGCGCTGGGATTACAGTGTGAGCCACCGCGCCCAGCCACAGGTTTTAATTTTTTAAATTATTCTTTTTAAAATTCTGCTCCTGTGCATAGCGTATTATGTCTAATATTTTATACATATATACATGTAGAAGACTTTATACACACACATATATAGTATATGTCTTCAAAAAAATTTTAATTTATAGTATTGCAATTGAAGAAAAAGAAAGGATCTCATATTCTATATTCTCCTGTAGGTGATACATAGTAATAAAGATTTTTTTTAAATGAAGAACAATTTGATTTTAAAAGATCCACTTTGGCTATATTCTGGGAGGTAAATTTAAAGATGAGATCTAAGACAAATAAAGCAGTTATGAAACCACTTCAGTAATCCTGGTAGGAACTTAAATGATGATGGTAGCACAATGGAAATACCAAGCAAGAGGCAGAAGCTGCTATAAGAGAAAAATATTTTAGGCTATAAATCATGTTGACTTCCATCATTCATTACATTTGGGGCCTATACAATTCCACAAAGATAATTTATATATCCTTCCAAAAGTAGGACTACAAATCAAGTTATAATATACTATTATCCTATTTGAGGTCATTAAAACTCAATGATTTAATTATATTCTGATTTCATGAGTAGGGGCAATTTTTTAAAAGAAATGTAATCACTATCCTGGCTACATCACTCTAGTTGTTCTCATGTAAGTAAGCAAAATTAAAATCTTGATCACAGAAAATGCGGTGAGAGGCTGGGAGGGAGAGAGAGGGCAGGCAAAGGTGAGGGTGAAGGGTACCGGCTAATACAGTGCTACAGCCAGTATCCAATTATCCCATGCCACCCTATTGATGATAGAACAAAGGTAATATTGTTTCCACTTTCTATCTGTTTTACCAGATTCAGTAGGCTGGGGCCTTTTACAAAATGTTGCATCTAAATATATCATTGATTTCCTTTGCTAGGAAAAAAATAGAAGCCAAGCAAAAGAGAGAATAGTGAGATATAATATAGGTAAATTATGCTTTATCTACTGGAGCTTAAACAGTTGGATTTAGTGCACTTAGATATATTTTGAGAAATTTTCTCCATTTTGTTTAAATTCTGGAAAAGAGAAATATTTAACAATAGAATTTTAAGTTGTACCTTTGAGTACTATTTACCAACACTTTAAGAAGCTCTTATCCATTTTTGAAAGAATAAGTGAATGAATCACTGTTCAAATTTTATTCCAGACCAAAGGGCCTAATCCTGCACAAATACCACACTGATGGTCCTATTACCAGAAAAACTCTGTGTGAATTAAATTGGAAATATTTTCATCCATTGCAGATAACTTTATAACTAGAACAAAATGGAATATTTTATAAGCTATCTGTAGTGACATTTTGTATCTGGCAATAGTTCCTTATCCTGGCTTTCCAAGTATTTCACATGGTCTTCAGTGACATAGCTACACTCTTAAATTATTCTGCCTTTCCCACAATTCTGTCAGTTAGATATTTATTAGAATTTGCTAAACAGGATAGTGGCAATAAGTGGATTCTCAAGGATTTTTCAGGAGGACTTAAAATATATAAATCATTTTTACTATCAATTGATTTTTAACATCAATGTGAAAAATCTTCATGATTAAAATCAGTTCTTGTCTTAAAAATTACATGTGCTTTTTGAAAGACTATATTCCTCAAAAAAAGATGAATATTCCAATTTTTCAAAACTCTAGAAATTTACTAGATTCGGATTGACAGTTCTATTTAGAGAATA